CCTGCTTCCCGCGAATCAGATGTTCGCGGGAAGTCTGAAAACAAGCAGGGGCAGGTGGGCAGCAGCACGTAAGCTGGGGTGGGGGGGACGCGACGAGGAGGGCCAGGGGCCGGGGGTGCTCGGCCGGGGCTGGAGGGAGCCGCTCAGCCGGGGCTGGACTGGGCAGCGACTCCCGGAGCCCTCCTCCTCGTGCCCTCCCTCCCCAGTTTACCTGCTGTCGCCTGCCCCTGCTTGTTTTCAGACTTCCCACGAACATCTGAACATCTGCGGGAAGCAGGGGAGGGGGAGGAGCAGGTGGGCGGAGCGTTCAGGGGAGGGGAGGAGCAGGGGCGGAGCGTTCAGGGGAGGGGGAGGAGCAGGTGGGCGGAGCGTTCAGGGGAGGGGGAGGAGCAGGGGGCGGAGCGTTCAGGGGAGGGGAGGAGGGGGAAGTGAGCTAGGGGCGGGGGCGGGGTGGACAGCTGCAGGGGCCCTCTTAGGCGCGGGGCCCGATTCAGCGGAATCGGCTGAATCGGCCTAAAGCCGACCCTGCTTGGAAGGCAGGGAGGCCAAAGCCCCCTCTGGGCCTCCCGCCATTTCCCCAGCCAGCTCCAAACTGCAACTCTCCAGCCCCTCTTCTGCCTTTGAATCTTTCCCGGGCCAGGAGGTCACCTGATCTCTTTGTTCTCCAACACCTTCAGTTGGCACCTTTGCAGGAGAGGGTCCCAGGCCATCAGTTACCAGGAGACAGAGTGTCGGCCATTTTCTGTGCAGACACCATCACACTGGGCCTCTCGGGCTCTGCAACAATCATCCCCCCTTATCCCACCACCTAGATACTTAAGAAAGGCATAAGGGAAACTGAGGCACCCACACAGTATTCAGAGAGACCATTAAGAACAGTCCCACTTCGTCACAATTGTCACTCCCCAGCTCCTCCCCAGCTGGGCTTCACTGTTAATTGAGCCTGGCCCACCCTCCAGGAGCAGCCAGTGTGATGGTCAGGGCCCAGACACCCCAGGGGGAGAGCAGGG